CAATATTGTATGACCCCTGACTAAATGTGATTTCTTAAACTAATTTTCATTTTTGGAATAGAGTTCTTTTTGCACTGGGCCAATACTGTGGCATGTTCGTGACTCAGGGAGGCAATGGGTTTCCATATTTTCATCACTTGGTATTTTTGTTACTGGAGCTGTATTGTGTACTATTGATATTAACAGAGATTGTATCCCTAATGGAATTTTGAAGTACATTTTGGATAAAGTAATTAAATAATAATTAAACCTTTATCAATTTATTATTACATTTACAGCTAGATACGGCAGACTCAAAAGACGACATTCAAGCAGTGTTTCATGTTGATGAGGCCACTGAATTTTTGTAAGCCACTGGCTATACTAAACCTGTGTTGAATCTGGGCTTAGATGACAAGGATAACATCCAATCCATTATGGTAGCCTACCATTGTTTTCTAAAAGTCAAATCTGAAATGGATCAATTTATTGAGGGGCTACGTGTCACTGGAGTACTTGATTTTGTTCGGGAGTCACCCTCTGTGTTAAAGCACATGTTTGTTCTCATAGGGGGCTGCAGGCCTAGGCATTGGGGGTCATTGCCTAGGTTAAAAATTAGACCGGAGGTAGGAACAATGCTATTTAACCCTTTTACCACACCCCTTTAATTAGAAATGCCTACATTGCCTAGGCTGAGTTGGACTTCTGCAGCCGCCAAAGTTTGTTCTCATTAAAAAGAAACTGACAGCTGGTTAGGATTTTTTTCATTCTTTTTTTATTTTTAGTTTTTAGAGGAATTAAAATCATTACTTGAATTTGAATGTGGCTTAGAAGTTGACTCTCTTGAACCCATTGAAAAGCAATCCTGGAGGTTTTTTGCAATTTTTTTGATATGTGTGAAGGTATTTATAGCTGTTATGCTTTTTACTCTGAATTTACCTTATTAGACGACTGTGGTCAGTGTATTGATTGTACAATCTCAGATGTTTTGGTTTTTTTACTGGTACAGACAATGTACTGCCTCAAGGATTTGACACACAACCCAAGATTGATTTTCTGTTTACTACTGACACTGTACCCATAGCCAGTACTTGTGATCTCACACTCAGGCTACCTACCAGTCATAACAATTTGGAGAGCTTTGTCGATTCTTTTCATATGGCCGTTAAAGGTAGTCCTCTTTTTGGAAGGCTATAAACCTCAGGACTCAATTAAACATAAAAACTCATGTATCACTCCCCCTATTGTATTATCACTTTCCCTATTGTTTGCAAGAGTTAATCACTTTTGATACTAGGTAATAATACAAGATGTTACAAATCACAGTTATTATGTATGTAAGCAGTTGCAATGACATAGTTACAAAGCAGAACTTCTTGAGAGAACCCATCTGTGCTATTGAGCTGCAATTGGAGCCACTCATAATCTCTCTGGCTAAGATACTGCGGTAGCTCATCAACTATAACTGTATCGTCGTTTCTATCAGCCACTGCTTCATGCTGCCCATGAAATACCTGTTATAGAGGAAATAAATATAAGATTATATGTGCAATGTACAACAAAAGAAAAATTAAAATTGACATGTAATTTGATTTTTGCATTTTAATATGTCAAAAAATTATCAGAATATTAGCACATGCAAATGCTTTAATGCCTAAGGTGTAATACCTTCCCTATCAATTACACACTACATTGCTTACATCAGACTCTAAGCCAGTCACTTCTCTATTATTTAAATCACAGTTCACAAAACCAGTTGTTTAAAGTTGGAGTGGTGTTTTATTGTTTTCTGTCCTCAGTGAATGATTTGCCCAACCTTCATGAAATAAATCCAAGTGGCGTTGGATAACTGGAAGCATAACCAAGTGTAGTGTGTACAGATCTAAAGGATCATTAATATTAAGTAATCCTGCATCTTCAAGAAAGTAAAAGAAGTTATAAAAAAACAATATGCATCCAGAGTATAGATCTCGCCAAAGCCTCTCTATTCTTTGGTTGTGTATGCTACGACCTGCTATCATACTACCTCTACCAGGACCCCTGTCAGGATGGCGAAGCATGTACTTGGAGACTTGAACATTTTCTCCCCCTCTGTCAGTTCTAATCTGAGAAGGAAGG